AGAGGATTCAGCCAACCGCCATTCACCCGTTCATAACAATCAATATCAAGTAGTCAACCCCTGTCCGGCTTCTACCAAAATTGCCGTGGTCTCAGGTCCAAATTATTTAATTTAAATTGTAATTCATTAACTCTCTCTTGTAATTTTTTCGTACTCACTGAAACGTGGCTAACTGATAATTTTTCGAATTCAGAGCTAGGATTTGTCAATTATAATATTTTTAGATATGATCGATGTAGTGCTTCTAGTAATTGTTTGCGAGGAGGGGGTGTTCTTATTGGTGTTCGTAAAGATATCCCAGTTATCCCTATTTCTGTATGTGCGATTAATGTTGAACATTTATTTGTGCGTATTTATTCAGAAACATTTAACTTTGTTATCGGTGGAGTCTACATTCCCCCACTTTCCTCCCCTTTAATTTATGAATCCCACGCTAATTGCATTGATCATCTTATGCACCGATTTCCAGAAGATATATTTATCATTTGCGGGGACTACAATCTACCTGAGATTTCTTGGTCTTGTGATAACAATGGCTTAACTTACTCATATACCTCTTCTACGCGTGCTCCTTTCATTCCTGAAACGTTTGCTACAAACGGATTTTATCAAATCAATAGTGTCCTAAACTCAAATAGTACTATTTTAGATTTAATATTTTGTAATGATAAACATCTCATAGTTGAAAAATCAAATGAACCGCTTGTGCCTATAGACAAATATCACCCCGCGCTTAACTTATCACTACCAGTAGATACTCAATTTCCCAATTGCAACAAGAGCCATAGCTACTATAACTTTCAAAAAGCCAACTACAGCAATATACGTCTATTTTTATCGTCTTTTGATTGGTTTTCCACACTTCAGTTATGGGACATTGATTCAGCAGTAAATGTACTATATGATGCTTTGCACAAGTCTGTAATAGACTTCGTGCCATTATACTACTTTAATGATTCTTCCTTTCCGCCTTGGTTCAATAAAAACCTTAAGCAAATTATTTTCTTAAAGAAAAAAGCGCATAAAAAATATAAAGCATCTTTAAGTATTAATGATTATAGGGAATTTTCTTTACTTCGTGCCAAGTTTAAGTATGAGTCAAAAAAATCTTATCGTGCCTACACAAATTATGTTGAAAATGCACTTGAAAATAATCCTAAACACTTTTGGAAATTTATAAAAAATAAACGTTCCGAAAACGCCATTCCTAGAATATTGTCTCTTAATAATAAAACCTCTTTAAATGAGCTTGATTCTGCCAATCTTCTGGCAGAATATTTTTCCTCAATATATAATAATTCGCCTCCGTTTGTTGATACGATATCGGATGCAATAAAAATACCAACTTTTGATCTGCCAAATACCGTTCACTTTAATGTTGATGATATATTTAATTGTCTTTTAGACCTAAGGAGTGACAAGTCTATTAGCCCTGACGGTTTACCAGGTACGTTCTTTTACGAGCTTAGATCAATTTTGTCCTATCCTTTGTGGGTTATTTTTAAACGTTCGCTACAGGAAGGTATTTTTCCTTCTATGTTCAAAATAAGTTCAGTTACACCAATCCCTAAATCTAACTGTCTATCTCTCGCTTCAAATTACCGACCAATATCCATACAATCACATTTATCAAAAATCTTTGAAAAATTAGTCCTCAATGCAATACAACCATTTGTTAACCAAATACTCATAGATGAACAGCATGGATTTAGACCTGGTCGATCTACCTCCACTTGCAACGTCCTCTTTTGTAATTATGTGTTTAACTCATTTCAGTGTGGCTTTCAGACAGATGTAATTTATACGGATTTTAATAAAGCTTTTGACTCTATTAATCATAAGGCCCTAATTCATGTGCTCAAAGAAACTGGCTTCGGTGAGCCTCTTCTGTCATGGTTCAGTTCTTATTTAAACAATAGGTATCAATGGGTTAGAGTTTTCGGAATAAAATCTAACTTATTCCATACTAAATCAGGTGTACCTCAAGGGGGGCACTTATCTCCTTTACTATTTTCTATATTTGTTAATAGTATACAGCTAACTCTAAAACACTCTCGCGTTCTCTGTTTTGCGGACGATATGAAAATATTTATGCAAATTCAATCTCCTAGTGACTGTATAAGGCTCCAAGCAGATCTTGATAAATTTGTTGACTGGGTAACTAAGTTGGGTTTAACACTTAATCTATCCAAATGCAAAGCTTTTACATTTTCTAGGAATCACTCTCCGATTACTTTCCCATATCGCCTTGGTAGTGAAGAAATCCCTCGTGCATCTAACAATATTATGGACCTTGGATTCAAATTCAGCCATAATCTTGACCCCAGTGCTCACATCCAACATATCTGCTGTAAAGCCTTCAAAATGCTTGGTGTTCTTATTAGATTAACCAGAGAGTTCAAGCTTGAAAAGACATTAAAACTTTTGTTTTGTGCACTGGTCCGCCCTATATTAGAGTATGGCAGTGTGGTATGGGACCCCAACACGGCAGACAACTGTCGCCAGTTAGAAAGGGTTCAAAATAAATTTCTATGTTTTGCTGGGCGGGCGCTGGGTTTACCATGTCCACCCCATGATTATAGCCCCGTGGCAAATAACTTAGGCCTTTCCACACTGTCATCGAGGCGTATTATTGCGGGCTCTAGGTTTCTCAGGGGTTTGCTTGATGGGAAGATAGAATGTCCTGCGCTATTATCTCTGATCCCTTTTAGGGTTCCGCAAATCAATACCAGATCAAATGCGCCTTTCCGAGTCACGCATGCCCCCACGAACTACCTAATGAATGAACCCCTTCACCGGTTACTTAGAAGTGCCAATGTGGATCCTAATTTTATATTATAATAATATTTGTATTGAGTTTTGTAATATCTTATTCGTATTTCGTTTTATTAGTTGTAAACATTTTTTATTTGTCTTTTGTTATTTGTTTTTATGTAATTCTGTTTGTTTTGTATCTTTCTCTCAAAATTAGTTAAAATTAAATATGTAAACATAGCTTGTAAAAAAAGGGATACATCCAGTAAACTAAATAAATAAATAAATAAATAAATAAATAAATAAATTACAAAATATTCTGGTTATATTCTAGAAATATTTCATTGCTATGTGGGCGTATAGCTTACCTGGAAAATGGTGTAATATATATTTTTATTAGGACACTATTTTTTATTTGCACATAGTACTATATTTTATCGATAAGTATTATATCTTATACATAAATTTCGAGACGGTGATAATTATATAAGATTGTACTTTCATTATCAGAAAAGTACATTATTAATAATTTTTTTTTCTCATATATGATGTATGAGTCTATGAGTTAATCGCAGTTACCAATATTTTTATCAAAATTAAATTTTTTACATAGTCACAAGTATAATAACCTGCTGAATTTTTATTTAATTATTCTATTATATAAACACAATTATTATAATTATAATATTAATAATTTTTGTGTATACCAGGGGTGTATTTAAGGGATATATGAGCCCCCTTTGAACCAGCGCTATCAATCATTTTTTAGGCAACTTCTAATAAATATGGACCTACTGTTCTTTTTTCATCATTACTTTCATTTTTAGCAAAAAAATTTTATAACATGTTTAACAAAGTAAAAAATATTAAATACCCTCCTAAAATAATTTTTGAATAGGCCTAAAGGGAATACCTCATTAACAAGTGTCAACCTTATACGCAATACATTTTACTATATTCTCTTTTTGAATTTTCCTGGTTTTAATAATAACATTTTTGTTACACTGATTCTGATGTAATATTTTTTTGCAAAACAATTATCGTGCTCGGCGTAGCCGGGTACCCCAACCGGAATCAGTGGCCTACTCATGATGATGGCCCGAAAAGGCTTACGCGACAAAGACGCGTAAGGCTCATAGGACTCTGGAACGGGGGCGGAGCCCCATATTAATTACAAGTATTATTTAAAATATTTCAAAGAAAATTTTCCTATTGCATTTGGTAGACACTTGTATAACGTATGAGCAATTAAATGTAAAAATAAAGTGTCCATTTTTAACAGATTATGTTACAGAATTGATGGTATATAAATGGAACACTCAACATTTTCATAATAAAATGTCATATACACAACTACGTTGTATAGAGGCAAGATGTAATGGCCATTATTTTTAATTTTGTACAAAATTTAATGGAAAGTACCATTTTGTAATATGATATTTTTCAAAATACAGTGCAACCTCAATATAACGAATTCCTCGATTTAACGAATTTTCTGAAATCCCCTAGAACTCTCCGTAAGAGAAAATGCAAAATATACCTTTATATTACGAATTACTGATGTTAGAATCCTTGATATAACGAATTTTTAATCACTGCAGATTTAAACAGAAATTGTCATTTCTATATAACGAATACTTCCAATCGATTGCATCTAATTGCACAAGAATTCCTGTCTCGACAGTTTCAGACGTGGTTCAGACTCGTACGCTTTAAGTTTGTTGAACTGAAAAAACGTACCGTTGCATAATTTATTGTAAAAACTGTTGTTTGCTACTGTCAGTGAATATTAAATTGCAATGGCTGAAAAAAGAAAAAGGTGTTCCCTAGCTGTCGAAGAGAAACAAAAAATCATACGTTGGCGAAAATCCTTAAAAGAAAAAATCAGACATCGCTAAATAGTTTAACATTCCCGCAACTACCTTGGCCACAATTTTAAAATTCAAAGATAAGTTCTCAGTAGAAAGTGGGTTGCCTGCAAACAGTAAAAAACTGAAATCATGTGAATTTAGGGACTTGTCCTTAACATGTCTACACTAAGGCTTGGATCACCTGTGATGCATTTAGCAACTGGCTTAAAGGACTTGACAAAGATATGAAGAAAAAGAAGAAGAAAATTCTTTTGTTCATCGATAATTGTCCTGCACACAGACACATTCCTAATTTGACTAATATACAAGTACTTGCCTCCAAATACTACTTTGAAACTTCAAACACTAGACCAAGGAATTAGTCAAAGCTTTAAAATGCACTATAGGAAGGAAGTTGTCAGACGCTATCTAGCTGATATTGAACTCCAAAAGCCGACTCAAATTGACGTATTACAGGCTATGTGGATGATCAGTAAAACTTGGAATAAAGTCACTGAAAGAACAATTACAAATTGTTTCAAGAAAAGCGGATTTAAGTGTGAAGATGAAGATAACGATGTGCCCCTCGCAGAACTTGTGAAGATCTGGCAAGCTACTAGTGCAAATGAGGAGGAAGACTCGACATCCATACAACTGACTGACTTCGAATTTGTGAGCTTCGATGATGATTTAGCAGTCTGTGGAGAACTGACTGATGATGACATTGTCACATCTGTATTGCCAGTATGTAAAGGAGAAGAGGAAGAAAGCGAAGAAGAAGAAAATGAAATTGAGGAACGTGAATTGACAATTAATGATGCTCGTAGAGCTCTAAATGTAATGAAATCTGTATTTCTGCAAAAAAATGTTTTGAGTGAGGGTATAGTCACATCAATAAATGAATTGGATTGCGCATTAGATTTCATAGCTATCACTACTTCCAAGCAGACGACAATATATGATTTTTTCTCTGTTTAAAACGAAAAACCACAAGATTAGAATGCCATGTTAATTTTTTATTACATATGTATTAATCATCTATTCTGATAACATATTCTTTGAGAAAACTTTATATTTGTTATTTTATAAGAAAACTGAGATGATTTTTTAAATAAATATTGCTTTTTTTTAACTTCTTTTTACTGTATAAATAGTGAAAACCGTTCGTTATATATAACAGGATAATTAGGTAAAAGTTCGAAATGCTGAGATCAATAATGTTTTTTGATCACCTCGTTATATCGAGGTTGCACTGTATAATGTCTTTATTTTTTGTTAAAGATTTATCTAAGTAATCTTAATTTTTTTTCCTTTTTGTCAAGATATACAAGTTTTTTTTTTTTTTAATAAATATATAGTTTTATTTTAAAGAATTATTTCAGAGTATGTCATAATATTATTAAAATGTCTGTGTTTATATATTTTATTTTATTTTATGACTTAGATTTTGTACAATAAATTTCTATTCTCTGTAAAAACAATGCAAGTCTAATGTTAGACTTATAATATGGATTATGAATATTAGAAACCTTAAAAATAAATCAGTAAATAGAATTAACTGGAGTAATTGAGTTTTTTTTATTTTCTGTGTAATTAAAATCTAATGACATGTCGTTTTTAAAATCACCGATCAATTGTGGACCGCTCTGAAACTACCGTTAGGTATTACTTTAGGGTGTATCACACCATCTATAGCTAGAGGTGCTTTTGCTTAAACCAAATCCAACTTTTGAAGTTGCTCTTTTTATAATACATAGATATTTTAATATCTTGGACAAGATATTTACTTTTTATTATTCACCCTTTTTCTTTTATTAGCTTTTGGTAAAAAATCACAGAATTATTTATACCACATAAAAACTCTTTCGCAATTAAATATTCATAAATATATTACATCTATTTTATAGATAATTAAAAATATTAGAATTAATTACGGAAACCTTGTTAGATTTTAAATAATAATTCTTTTCTGAGTTATACTTGTCATGCTTTAATAAAACCCAATGACTGAAAACACAATTGCTTTTATAATCTTCAATCTTTGAGCCTAGATTAAAAAATGTTTAAATTTGAATATATCTAATTGTTTTTGTTATCATATATTGCATTGTTTTAAAATAAATAACTAAGTAAAACAAATTACTTTTAATTACAATTCGTTTGCTTCTGGGAAACATAATAATTATCTTAACAATAATTGTGATTTACTTATGAATGAATGAAAAATATTTAATGAAATCTTTTTTCTAATGATAAAACTTCGCCATTAATACTGAGAAATATAGCTGTCATAACGTATTCATCCGTCTAAAAATTTCACTTGTCGGGCAATACCTATCATATTTATTTACTTATGTTGTCACAGCAATCGGTTCTAAGCCAATAAACACAAATATTTAGCCAATATTGACTAACATAGAATACAAAACTAACAACCAACCGACTTTATTATAGTTGATTCTATCATCATCTAAAATTTTGAAATTCCACATAATTTTAAACATTTAAAAAATTACTTAACATTTTCCTATCGTATAAAATGACATTTTCAAAAAAAAATACTGCATTTTAAGTGCTATAACTTTTTAAAAAACAGGGATCCTAATGATTTTTCAAATATGGTCACTAAGGACACTAATTATTTATGACGCACATTTTATGAAAAAGCTAAGTATATATCGAGAGAGACACGGGTGAGGGTCAGTCTAGAATGTAGCACGGTGCTGTGTCAGATATTATTATTGAAAAAATGAACTTTCGACCCTAAAAACATTTTTATAATGTGTCCCTTTAAAAGTGAATTTGTTTTTTATTTTGTATGTAATTATGTAAAAAATTAATATTTAATTTAATTAATCTAACCATTTTTTTATAATATATCTGTATTTAATTAATTGATTGAAACAATTTTTCTAGTATATTAAATATAAAATATAAATATAAATATAAAATATAAAATATAAAAATAATAAAATAATAAATTTTTGTTCATTGGAAAATTATATGAATTATTTTTTTGAGTGTGAAATATACAAATAAAATATTCTCTATTTTTTATTATTGGTTATGTCAATTGTAAAATGTTTACAATTAATTATTATTATAATAAATATATTTTATGTTTTATTAACTGACTTTTTATATGATTTATTTATTAATCTAACAAATGAATTATGTATTTTTTTTTCTTTATTAATATATACACAAACGGCATAATAAGAGTATTAGCTTATGACAACGAAGAATGAAATATTGAATGAAGAAGCCACTCACCAATGACATTTACGTCTTTTAATTATTTTGTATAAACCTTATTTTTTTTTGTTAGCGATTAAGTAGGTCTCTGTATCATTTACGCTTAAAGCTTTGAGGAGGGTTAACAAGGATGGTTAATAAATCTAGGCTCTGATAATAGTGGCAACAGAGGATGTGAATTTAGCGTTGCCTCGATTTGCCATAGTAGTGTTCTCGTTTCATCAAATGTCAGCAATACTCCCTTTGAAACCCTAATTAAATGTCTCTTTATGGATTTCACAGTTCTCTCTCATTAACCGTCATAATGTGACCATACACACAAAGACAAATATGTAAGTCTTTATTGGCGTGACCTTCCACAAGTCGCTTAGTACAAGTATTGGGCCCCAAAGGTCTACACCGCTATTCGCAAATGGTCTGGAAATTATCACTCTTATTCCGGTATATAATTATTAATTATTCGATTGATTGTGGCAACACCAGTAGCTTTTTTTAATGGATATAATTGAACAAATCGAGAAAAGTACTGCAAATACTGCAAATAATGACCCTGATTTTTTAAATTCTTTTTGTTCTTAATGGAGTCATTTAGCCTTTCTTTGTATTTTAAATTTTTGCTTATGTTTTCAATTTTTTCTTCTTGTCCAATTCAATTTTATTGAATTTCATCTAATAATGTTCATATTTCTAGTTTTATGATAATTTTAAGTTGTATATTAACTGTCAATTACATATTGTATTTTTTGGGCTAATGCCTGTATCAGAAACAATAAATAANTGCCATGATCAGATACTATCATTTTCGGTTTACCCCAGTCCGGTATATAATTATTAATTATTCGATTGATTGTGGCAACACCAGTAGCTTTTTTTAATGGATATAATTGAACAAATCGAGAAAAGTGATCCAATACCACAAACAAATAAGATACTCCATTCCAACTAGCAGGCAATGGTCCATACAAATCAACAAATACACAATCATTTGGAGCATTGTATTGAATATTTTTCATAAGTCCTTCGACTCGACAAGTTTGAGGTTTTGCTCGTTGACACAAATCACAAGAAGACAATAATCGCTTAACAATGCGGTCCATATTATTAAATATACAAAACTGCTTCAACACACCAACACATTTCTTTGGACCAACATGACCATATAATTCATGGAAATTAATAATTGTAGAATTAATATTTAACATAGGTAAGCATATTAACCAATTTCCCGTGGATTGAGATTTACGACGAAACAATATATTATTGTACAACTTATAGCATTTAGATAATTCAAGATCAGGACACGAAGTAGACAGTTTATNCCAGATCAGGACACGAAATAGATAGTTTGTTAATGATCGAAATTAATTTTGGATCTGATCGTTGTTCAACTTCAACCGACGAAAAAATATTTACAATAGATACTGGTAATCTAGGAGGGGTTTCAATCTTAATGGCCATCAGTCTAGGCATGGGTTCTTCAATAACTTCATCTCGGCCGACTGGACTACAAGAAAGCGCATCTACGACGTTCTGTTCTCCCAGACAATCTTCTAAGAAAGTACTGCGGGTATCCAAAATACAAAGAGACTCTTCGTTAGACGATACTTTTTCCTCCAACATACCAATTTGCTCAACAAGACTATCGTGACGTTCTGCACAAACTTTTTCCCTCTCGAACAATTTAGACTGAAAAAGATCTTTTTGGATATCTAAGCTCTTTTGAATATCAGTAAATAGCTACCGATTTAGTACCTTCATCTCTAGCTTTCCCTTGAGAAGTTCAGATAACATTTCAGATAAACTAATAGTAGGGTAATTTGGAGAGAGCTATACCCCCCCCGCCGCACCAACTCGCCACCCTTGTGGTGGTGGGAGTGTACGGGGGGATTAAATCTAACGTAAACTAACCTAATGGAATGGGAGGGGGAACGACGAAACCTTATGTAAACTAACCTATCGCGGGGGGAGGGAGAGGATGAAACCCAATGTTTTCTAAGAATTTTATCATCGACTAGCAGACGCTTAGGTAAGCACATGTCTGACATCAAAGGTATCATAATATTATATCGCTCATAAGCGTCTGTAATTTTATGGGAAAAAATTGTGACGCTGTCTTTGTATTTTATTTTTATTTTTATTTTAACATTATTACAGGCAAAGCCCAAAATTAATTACAATCTTCATAAATATATTAGTAATACATTATCATTCTTAGTACAATCAAAATACATTAGCAAATAAACATTTTTTTTTTTTTTTTTTTTTTTTTTTTTTTTTTTTTTTTTTTTTTTT